TCTCCTCCCTTTTCCAACACTGTCACTTGTCCACGTATTTGTACATCGTGGCTAACACATTTACATTCTATTTTGTGGTCATAATTTAGCATTCCTTTTTTTTTTTAAATAAATTTATTTTATTTATTTATTTATTTTTTACAATTTATTTGTGTGTGTGTGTGTGTGTGGCCAGCTCAGCCCACCAGGGGGCGGGCTGGCTGGCATGTGGTGCTGGGGGATTGAACCGCGGTCCCTGTGCTTTGCTAAGCTTGTTCTAAGTAGGTGCTTTAGACCACTGAGCCATCTCACCAGCCCCATAGCATTCCTTTAAGGAGGAAAACCATATACAACATTTTCATTGTAATTATTTCAATGTTATTCACAGAATATCTAAGTTTTACGCAGTGACTACATTTCCTTTAATCTGGTCCCAAGGTCCTAATCTGAGCGCTGTTCAAAGGACATCAGATGGGGGCTGGAGAGATGGCTCAGTGGTCTAAAGCACCTACTTGGAACAAGCTTGGCAAAGCACAGGGACCACGGTTCAATCCCCCAGCACCACATGCCAGCCAGCTGAGCTGGCCACACACACACAATAAATAAATGTAATAAATAAAAATAAATAAATATTAAAAACAAAACAAAACAAAACAAAACAAAGGACATCAGACGTCACTTTCGCATACTTCCATCATTTGTTCAAAACCTTGCAGGGTATCAGGTCCAGTATTTAGAAGGTGTGTGTCCTGTATAGATTTGTTTTTTTACTGAGAATTTCAGTATTTTTTTCTTGTGGGGTGAAGAAATACATGACTTCCACCTCATGCCCTGAATACCACGGGTGTCTTATTCGGTGTCTAGTCTACAATCCAGCCCAGTATTTCAGAAGGTCATTGACTGCCGAATTTCAATTCATAGTGTAAGTTTGTTGTTCATTTAATTTTTTTCTGCAAATTTGGCCTTTCTTCTTTTATAATACAACCTGCGGCCTTTCTCCTGTCCTGAAATCTGTCCGAAGTTCATCCTCGGGATACGCAGCTTCCCAACCACGCGCGCGGGTCTCAGCTGGAGGGCCTCCTTCCCACAACCGTCTCCGCCACGCAGTGTCCGCAGCCCTCGTCCACCGTCCCGCGGCCGCGCGGAGCCACAGCGCACGCGCAGGCGGCGCCGCCGACATCTCGCGAGAGCGAGGCTCAGCGCCGCGGGCCGCCTGAGAGTCCGCCGTCCTGGTGGCCTCCTGTAAGCGCTGTTCAGGATCGCGGAGGCCGCGACGGAGAAGTAGGGGAAGTTGATGCGCAGCTGCCAGGCCAGCTCGCAGCAGGCGAGGAGGGTGCGGGAGAGCCCTCTGCAGAGGAGCCCGTACGAGGAGGGGCCGCTGCCGGCTGGAGGCCCTGGCGGCCAGGGAGGACGAGCGCGGCGGGGGCCCGCCCAGCGTCCGGAGCCGACCGCCCTGCAGCCTCCGCAGCCTCCCGGCGGCGCAGCCGCGACCCGCGGGAACAGCGGCCGCCGCCCGCCTCTGCGGCGACTGGCACACGTTAGGCGCACGATGGTCACACTCACCATCATCTGTACCTGTACTTGCTAGAGCTGTCTCATTCCCTGCCCTCCCTTCAGCTCCTCCCCTTCCCACTTACAAAGCTTTGATTCCACTTGTTCCTTCTTCCTTTTCCCCTTCCCTCCTTACCCTTGCACTGAGCATTTTCTTCTTATTTCACAATATCTTCTACACATTTTGGTCCTTATACTTCCAGTTTCTCACACCAGAGAAACAGTGCAGTATTTACACGTGTCCACCTTATTTCACTTAGAATGGTTTCAAGGTGCATCAATTTAGCTGTAAAGGGCTGGAGCTTATCCTTTATGGCAGTGTAGTACTCCATATACAGACCCACACCGTCATCCACTCGTCAGCTGATGGGCATCTGGGCTGTTTCCAAGGCTATTACAAGCTACCATTATAAACATAGGTATGCATATATTCCTGTAGTATGATCCTTTTAATTATTTTAGGAAGAGAACAAGAAGGGGAATAGCTCAAATAGAACCTCTACTCCTAGTGTTTTGAGGAAATCTCCACACTGATTTCCACGGTGGTTGTACCAGTCCATATTCCCATCAGCAATGGAGAAGGGTTCCTTTTCCCACTAGCTCAGATTTAAGCCAACAAAGCCTTTTTTCTTTTTTCAGTGCTAGGGATAGAGCTGCTCCACCACTGACTCATGTCCCCAGCCCTTCAAAAAGTAACTCTTCATTTCTCTTTGCCTTGCTCGTTCACCTGTTTATTTGGTCACCAGCTCCACAACAGTGCATGACTTGTCCAAGCCACTACTATTTACTCACCTACCTTCCTACTTCCTATCTGACCGTCTGAAGTAGCTCTTCCTGTTGCAGTTATTATTCATTACATCACCAGCTTTCCCTCTTCAGAGCACTTAACAATTCTGTGTTTTTGGGTGCATACTAAATTCGTTATTGTCTGTTTCTCCCATGGAAAGGTAAATTCTGAGTATTTACCCTGGGCCTCCCCAGCAGTTCTTCCTGTTGTAGGTAGGCTGGGGGGCAGGGGTAGGGATGTGCTGTGCAAAGAAAGCACAGCAACTGGTGGCAAAGACCACGCTTCACGTCTGAGAAGTAGAGATGCTGAAGTTGAGCTTGCCTGGACCACAGAGCCATGCCTGGGCAGTGAAAAATGGACAACGCTGCGGCTGCTGTCTTGTTAGCAGTTCCCACTGTGTGAGGTATGGAGTAGGAAGAATAAAAGCCAGGAGACTGGGACCTGGTGTCACCTAGAAGGGACCCTCCAGGTCCCCTGGGACCACAATTTCCACTGCAAGCATTAGGACCTCAACCGGTCATCACAGCAGGTCCCACAAGAAAACGCTTGCTTCAGCACACTGAGTAAAACCGGAGCCACAGAGAGATGATCAGCGTGGCCCTGGGCTATGACAACGGGCACATTTATGAAATGTTCCACAGTAGAAAGAAAGAATAACACAGAGAAGAAATTTGTGTCCCTAAGGCCGGCCAAATAGCGGATTAAAGCGCCTGCAAGCAGGCGACGCGGCTGGGGGTTCAATCCCTGGGCCTGCCTTGCTGGCCCTGCCCCCCCAGGGGCACACTGTGGAGACTGGGCATGGTGGCACACCTGTAATCCCAGCTCTTGGGAAGCTGTACACAGGCGAATCACTACGAGTCTGATCTAGTAGTGAGACCCTGAACAACCTGTAGACCCTTCCCTAAAATACAAAAAAAATAAATAAAAATAAAATTGTGCTCCTAATCCCATCATAACAATCCAAGACTAAAAGCGAAGGACTGTAAGAGTCCCTTCAGTTACAAATTTTGCTACAGCTTGAGTCAAATACTTAGTTAAATAGCACATCGAAATACCCCAAAGTGTGATCCTTGGGCCTCACAGGTGGTGACAGGGCCAGCGAGAAAACTCAGCGGTCTAAAGCGCCTGCTCAGGCAAGCGCAAGGTCTGCGGTCTGATCTCCGGCAACGCAGCCCGCCCCCAGGGCCAGCCCCGCCCCACACGCCCCGCCCCCAGGGCCAGCCCCGCCCCACACGCCCCGCCCCCAGGGCCAGCCCCGCCCCCACAAGCCCCCGCCCCCGGCCAGCCCCGCTCCCAGGGCCGGCCGAGCAAACCACAAAAAAAATCGGGAGACCTCTCTCTAGCACTGTAAAAGTCAAGGGCCTTAGGACAGGGCTGCGGAGCTCCCGGAACGCCACAGCAGAAGGGACGGGGCGGCTCTTCCAGGGCTCCGAGTGCCTTGAGAAAATGACGTCTATGCTGAGGCTCCAGGAACCGAACGCCTCCTTACACACTTGCACACTCCCCATTCCCGAACGAGTCGTACCTTTCACCTCTCCCTACTTCTTGAAGTGAAGCAATGGCCAGGAGTTGGTTATCTCCTCTGACTTCCCGGACACTTAGGTGCACCAAGCACGAATTCTGCGTGTAGCCACGTGTGTAGTGAGGGCACACTGTAGAAGGCCGAGGTGGGAGGACAGCATATGTGCGCCCAGCTTGGTCAACTGAGCGACCCTATCTCAGAAAAAGAAGAAGAGCTGGGCAATACAGCTCGGCGGCGATTCTCGCTGTGTCTCGGCTCATCACATCGGCCCAGTCCCGCAGGAACTCTTATTTCTCTGCCACCATGCAGTGAGCTCACAGCGGCGCCAGGGTCCAGCACGAGGCAAGCCCGCGAAGGGTCCGATAAATAAGGGCGGTTTTAAACAGGATTAGCGAGATGGGGGATGATTCAAGGCAGAGAGGTTAGCTGAGCTCGCTGGAACTGCGTCCTTCCAGAGCCAAGCGTGGGTCCAGCAGACGCGAAGGGCCAAACTACAGTACCGAATCTCCAGACTAATTAGCTCAGTTCTTCCTACCTCTTTAAGAACGCGAGCGCTGCTCGTGCGCCTGCGCCGCGGCGGAGTGACCGCCTCGCCCTGCGGCCTCTGCCGCTCCCCGCGGCCTCCGCCGGCGGCAGCCTCCTCCCACAACACCCTTCGGGAAGCGAGGAGTGGTCCGTCCCAGGGTGTTGGGCTCCCTTGGGAGGGGACAAACTTAAGTGGTACGGTCCACTGCTGTCATTCCGCGCGCGTTTCGCATCCGCTTTGTTCCAGTTACCCCCGCTCCGGCCGGCACACTAGACTTGCCCGAGGAGGAGGGGCGCGGGCCGAGGGACCGGTCTGAGCCGGTCTGTGGCGCAGGCGCAGTGCGGATAAACAGGAAGCGGGTGGTGGAGGCGGCGGAGAGGGTACTAGCGGCTTTGGGCGTGCGGCGAGCGGACTTCAGTTGCTAGGCGGACGGCAGACTCTGGGCGCGAGAGAAGGGTCCTCGACGTGGGCCTCCAGGAGCGAGAGACTGGGCCCCGCTTTCCCCTCGGGCTCCTGACGCGCGTGCCGAGGCCGCGGCTGACAAAGGCTCGCCACCGCCCTTCGCATCCGGGCACTCGCGCCCCGCAGGGGGAGGGGCGCAGGCCGAGGTCCTCTCCCCGCGTCGCAGCCGAGGGGGCCGCAGAGGTGGCGGCGGGCAGCCGGAGGATGGTCCAGAAGGAAGGCCAGGCGGCCCTGGAGGAGCGGGATGCAGACCTCAGCTCTGGCCCCGCCGCTTCTGCAGGGGCAGCGTTGGAGCCGCAGGCGGCTTCGGGCTCGGGAGACGACCACCCCGCCGGGGCCGGGGCGGCGACGGCGGCTGGGGCCGCGGGAGGAGCCCGAAGGTTCCTGTGCGGCGTGGTGGAAGGTGAGCGAGGCCGCGCGCTCGGCGCAGACGCCGGCCCGGGGGCAGGTGGTGGCGCCGCCGGGGCGAGGGGAAGGCGGCGGGGCTCATTTCCCCCCTCGCGTCCGCAGGCGCCGTCTGGTCCGCTCTGGCCGCTACCGAGCCTGCCTCTGATCGCTCCGGCCTTGGCTGTGGAGGGGACCGTTGTGTGGTCCCTGCTACTTGCGGGGTGCTGACTTACACTGTTTCGTGTTTGGAATCCTATTTAAGGTCGAGTGGAGAAGTGTGCTGGGCGTGGTGATGCAAGCCTGTAATCCTAGTACTTGGGGAGCAAGAGGCTGGAGGGGCGCAAGTTCCAGCTCAGTGTGGGCCGTCTAGGAAGACCAGTTTCAGGGCGGGGAAGGCCGTGGCTTCGGTCCCCGGCCGCCGGGGCTGGGGTGGGGGAGGGGGCTCAGCGGGCGAAGCCTGGCTTGCGTCCAGTGCTCTTTTCCAGCCTTTGAGGAAAAATAAATCAGCCCACATAGACTTGTTCGTACTAATTAGTTCATAGTATTACAGATTCCTACCTCCTTAAAAATTCTTTTACTGGCCAGTAAATTTCTCTGCCCCTTTGAAGAATCATTTATAACGTAGAAAACTGGTCTTTCCCCCCTATACCATATTGTAGTAATGGTGTTTTGGGGTGTGTGTGGCTTTGACTAATATTCTCAAAAGCGTCAGGACATGGGATTCGAATTCGGTGACTTTCGAAGAAATTCCCCCCCTCCCCCATTTGCGGTATAAGTACGATGGATAGTTCTTAGCGAAGGAAAATTACCAGAAGATTGTCATAGTTTCTGGGTGAAAATGGTGTCCCGCCCAGCATTCCGTGGAAGCACCAATCATCAGCGTTCTTGAGTGCAGGATTTATTTGAATTTTCTAAAATACGGTGTTTTGGCTCATCTAGTGTTTTCTGATTGTCTAGTTCTTAGGTATTATGGATAAAAACATAAAAATTAGTCTGCGTAAAACTTAAAATCTGGGAAGAGAAAGATTGCTCTTGGTTTAGAGTATCGTTTTTTCCAGGCTGTCACTTTATAAATAAGATTGTACGGAAAGATGGACGATTATGTTTTTAAAAATAAAATTTAATTTGGGGGAGCACATATTATGCAGCTACAGTAAGGTTGAAGCAGTTCGGCAAAATAACTTTGCAGGATTTAGGGAAAGATGATTTGGGGTATGAAAAGATGAGTGCTTTGGAGCCGGGGAGATAGCTCTACTAGTAGAATAAGCGCTTCCCTGGCAAGTACAAGGGCTTGAGTTCAATCGCCGGTTCGGAAAGAAAAAAAAAAGATGATTGTTTTGTGTGAGTTTTTGATGTACTGATTGAGCTCGCTAAGAGTGATGGGAGGTTTTAGAAGAATGTACTCCCTGAGAATGGGAAGGGTGGTGGGTGAGGAAAAGTGCAGAATAATATAGAAATTTGAGAGCTAGACTAGAAAGAGTTTAAGGAAACTTGCCAAGCCATTATATCTTCAGTAATTAAAACACAAAACTTACTGTGGTTTAGAAGGACTTTTTTTTTTTTTTTTTTTGGCTGGCTCAGGTTGCCTTAAGGGCAGGTCTGGAAAGGCATGAGGATCTGGGGATCGAACCAGAGTATCCTGAGCCTGAGTGCCTTTGCTTAAGCAGGCACTTAAACAACTGAGCTAATGGGCAGGCCCCAGCTTATTGTGGTTTAAATTGGTTTGCAGTAGTATTATAAGGAAAGTTATGTGTGTACCAGAGTTGTCTTCTGTTTTCTCGCCTTCTCCTTAACTGTTTCCTTGGTAACTGGGCACCGGGTTCAGCACAGATTTGCGTATTTAGTAGTGCTTCTTGGTTGGCATCATTCCTAAAACGAAGGAGGATGGGAAATGCTGTTAACTGCTGGGATTCCGGTTCGGTTCTTGCTCTCACAAACCTTTGTTGGTTTTAACTTTTGCTTTAACAGCACTGCTTCCTCTCTTTGTGATGCAAATTAATCAAATTTTAAACTTGACTGTCAAAACATAATCTTAGTTTCTGAGGGTTACGCATTTGGAAAACTGCTGGAGTACTGCTAAAGGGATATTTAATACCTACTTTTTTTTTTTTTTTTTTTTTTTTGACGGAACCGGGGATTGAACTCAGGCCCTTGCGCTTGCCAGGGAAGCACTTATTCCACTGAGCCATCTCCCCGGCTCCTTAATGCCTACTTTTTAAAGTGAAAAAACAACATGTTTTACTATCAAGAATATCTTAATTTTAATTAAAAAACAAAATCTCGGGCTGGGGAGATGGCTCAGTGAAATAAGCGCTTCCCTGGCAAGCGTAAGGCCTGAGTTCAATCCCCAGTTCTGCTAAAAAAAAAAAAAAAAAAAAAAAAAAAAAAAAAAAAAAACTTTGTCCTACTAGCCTATTTTGAAACTTTCATTTCAATTTTATCTTGTTTTTCTCATTAAAATGAATTTTAAAAATAATCAAAAGAACAAATTTTTTTAATTTGGTACAGGGTTTCGCTACACAGCTGGGACTCAGTAGTCCTCCTATCTCAGCCTCCCCAGTGCTGGGATTACAAATGTGTGCCACCAGGCCAGGGCCAGGTTTCCTTTCTGCACGGCCGGGCTCGACTCAGCCTTTAGTATTGGCTAAAGGACCCAGGTCATTGCACTTGCCAGGCTGGCGCGTAGGCTGCCATCGTATCTCCCCAGACCTATCAAGAATATTTTAAAACCTGGCCGGATGGTGCACATTTGTAAACAGCCTTAAGGAAGGCTGAGGCAGGGAGATCCCAAGGTTAAATTTTGCCTGGACAGCATAGCAAGACTGTTTCAAAAAATAGCTAGGGATGGCTTTCATACTCCATACAGTACAACTTAATATCACCTGTAAGTACATAATACTGAACTGTTAAGATTGAAAACATTGGGCCAGGGAGATGGCTCAGTAGAATAAGTGCTTCCTTGGCAAGCACAAGGGTCTGAGTTCAATGCCTGGCTCCGCCAAAAAAAAAAAAAAAAAGATTGAAAATGCTACAGTTTAATATGCTGGTATGTAACGAGGGGTTTTTGTTGTTAGGGTTTTTTTTTTTATTATTATTTTTTTGGTGGGACTCTTGAGGTGAGGGAAGCATTTTCATGTTTACAATACTTTTATTGGTAGTGTTCATGGTACCCCCCCCCCCCATACCAGGGATTGAACTCAGGAACCTGCGCTTGCCAGGCAAGTGCTTATTCTACTGAGCCATCTCCCCGGCCTCATGGTACTCTTGAGAGATTGTTCTGATCTGTTGTTGATTGAGACAGAAAAGTAAAAGTTACGCAAGCTGTAAGGGCTATTTGGTATTAGCACACTTAGGGAGCCTCAAATCCCAGTTTTGTGTCTATTACCTAACTTAACTTAGATCATCTGTCTACAAGTTTGTTTCTGACATTGGACACCCTGAGGTATGTCATCACTTTCTTAAAATTTCAGTTCAGTTCTTCTGGACTTGAGATGGATTGTTTGCTATTTAGGCACTTTCATTGTTGGATCTCATGAAGCTGGTCTTAAGGGTTTTTTTCTTTTTCGATTGTTTCTTTAAGAATTTTTGTTTGGAGATAGTCACACATGTAGGTCAGGCTGGCTTTCAGTTGAGTGACTTTTGTAACACAGGCTAGCTTCAAACTACTATGGTGATCCTTCTGCCTCATACTACTTAGTGCTGCAATTACAGGTACAGGACACCACACGTAGGTATAAAAAGTTTTTGCAAAAGTAATCATTGCTGGGTATAGTGACACAGTGCTAATTCCAGCTACTCAGGGGGCTGAGGGAGAGTAACAGAATATTGGAGAGCAGCCTAAAATTTTTTTTGAAGAGACTGAGGATGTAGCTAAGTGGGAGGGCTTTTACCTACCACTTGAAGGTTCCACAATCCCCAACACTGTAAAACAAAAATTGTAAGTTAATCTTTTTCTAATCCTGTCCCTGATTTTAACTAGCTTGTTTATCTCACCTCATCATTCCAGATGCAGCCTAACTCCCCTCCTCCATAGCAGTTATTACGAGTTTGCTTTCTTTCATCTTGTAAGATTGAGAGACTTTTCAGGGAGTGGTAGAGCACTTGTCTACTTACTCAGGGATTTGGGTTTGTGGCTGAGTTGGCCAAAATAAGAATTTGGAAGGGAAAGGTTTATTTATACTTCACAGTAAAAAGGTAAGTTTACCTGTTTTTAAATAGCTTTCACCTAAGTAATAAATGTTATGGTAGAAAAGTAAGAAAATTGACCTGAAGGAAAAAAATAAAAATTGCCTGTAACTTCACTGCTCATAGATTTAAAAAAAAAAAAAAAAAAAGCAAAACTTCAATGTCTTATTAAATATTATTTATCATTTGGTGTATTATACTTTTTTTAGAAAATGGGATTATATTTTATGTGTAATGTTTCTGAAAGCTTACCACATTCTGAAACTTGAAAGAAATTAATTTTATTCTTACTTGAAATCTAGGATTTTATGGAAGACCCTGGGTTATGGAACAGAGAAAAGAACTTTTTAGAAGGTAAATTTTTACTGTATGAAGCATGCTAAAAGTCTAATGATTCCTTTTAGAGAAATACTGACACTGATATCACTGGTACAAGTTGATTTTTTTCATTTAGAGAACTGAGGCACTTACCTGGTCTTCATCTATAAGCCTGTGGTTTTCACACTTTTCCTGGGGAAGTTTGAATAGGTTTTGGGTTTCAGCTGTCATACCCAGAGTTGTGTTTTTATTTGATACCAATATATTGACATACCTTGTAGCACTTTCTCCCACTGATTAATGGTTTAAAAGATATTGTTTTAGGATGTTACTAGTTTTATATGAAGTGGAAATGCTCCAAAAAGAGGACGAATACTGAGATTTATAACTTACTAATGTTGCCTCTGTGTGTGTGTGTGTGTGTGTGTATACATATATAAATTTTCTTTTTCCTTAAGGCTCCAAAAATGGGAATTAAATACATACTTGTACGCACCAAAAGATGACTACAAACATAGGATGTTTTGGCGGGAGATGTATTCAGTGGAGGAAGCTGGTAATCTTTTTCTTTTTAATCCATAAACTCAGTATGTGAAGGAAAAAGCTATATTATATGCTATAGTTTTTTTAATTTCATTTTCACGTTATAATTTCCATTTATCTGAGAACTACAGTAGTCTGTGTGAGCTACTACAGACTGAAAGAGTGGCATTAAGGAAATCACAGCCGTTTGAATTGTGAGTGTGTCAGTCTGACTTCTCCTGTTCTGTGGTTCAGATGATATTTTATTTCGGCCAGTGATCTGCACAGTGGCCGCTTAGAAAGTGTTTCAGCCAGGGAGCGGTAGGGCAAAGCACTCGAAGCACCTAGCTTGAGTGTGCGTGCTAAGGCACTCCAAATAAGTAACCAGGGTGAAGTATAAATACTGTGAACTGAGCCTGGTTGCACACACCTGTAATCCCGCCACTCTGAGAGGCTGAAGCAGGAGGATTGCAAGTTTGAGTGCAACCTGGGCAATTTAGTGAGACCCTGGCTCAAAATAAAAAGCAGACTTGGGGCTGTACCTCAGTGTGAAAGCCCTGTACTTGATCCCTGAGTACTTTTTTAACAAAAGTTTGTAAATTCGTTTATCACAGAATCTTCTTATAAGTCACAAAAGTGGAGTTCTTCTTCAGGGACTCAGTGAATGGAGAAATATTGTCATACTTTGAATTAAATAGTATGCACGTGTAGTTAACAATGAATAGCATTTGGGTACAGGGCCCAGTCAGTGTACTGAAGGCAAACACTTTAATTTAGTAAGCCAGGCCTAGTGGCATACACCTATAATCCCAGCACTGGAGTGACAGAAGCAATAGGGTCACTGAGTTTGAGGCCACCCTGGATTACGTAGTGAAATCCTGTCTCAAAAAAATTACGAAGTTTAAAAAAAAAATTATGAAGTTATTAAAATTTATTTTTACCTAGATGTGTTATTCTTTACAACTTCATATAAGTGTACTTTAAACTTAGTTATTTTTTGGTGGGGCTGGTATGAAACTGAATATAATCAATAATCAAAACAGAGTCAGATAAAAAAAAAGTCAGATGACTTGAAATACTACTGAACTTTTGAAGAGTCAAATATATAGTTATGTTTCAATTTATTTAAAATTTCTTTTTGTTTTTTGAGAAGTCTTGCTATACAGTCTAAGTGGGCCTTGAACTTATTATGTAGTCCACCCTGGCCGTGAACTTTGGTGATCCTCCTGTCTCAGCCTCCCAAGTGCTGGGATTCTAGGCATATACCTGACAATTATTTATTTATTGTCTTTTTTTGAGTGAACTTTCTTTTTTCTTTTTTTTTTGTATTGTCTTTTTTGACACAGGGTCTCGTGCAGTTCACTTTGTAGACTAGGCTGGTCTCAAACTTCAAACAATGCTCCTGTCTCAAGCTCCCAGGTGCTGGGATTACAGGCATGCACCACCATACCTGGCATTATTTTTAAATTTTTATTAGTATATGTTTAGTGTTTCAGTTTATTTAGAAAAAGTGTATTATAAAGTCCTCCTGGGCGTGGTGGATCACACGTGCAATCCCAGCACCTTGGAAGCAGAGGAAGAATTATCACCATGCATTTGAGACCAGCCTGGGCTACAGAATGAGTTCAGAGCCAGCTTGAGCTGCGTAGACCTTCTCTCTTCCCCGCAAAAGTCTGCAGTGAATATTTTTCCTGTACATACATGGATGAAGGATTTTTAAAGCCATCATTTAATCTTACTTTTTAGAAAAACATTTTCTGTTGCTATTTAGGAATTTCAGTTGTTGGGACAGTCAAAAAAAAAAAAAGCATTTTTATCTTTCAAATACTGTAAGACATGGAATTGACAGCCCAGTAGTTTATGGGTTGGTTGTTTTTTGGTTTTTTGCAGTACCATGGATTGAACTCAGGACCCTGCGCTTGCCAGGCAGGTGCTTATTCCACTGAGCTGTCTCCCAAGCCCTTTTTTTTTTTTTTTTTTGAGACAGGGTCTTGCTCTGTAACTCGTGCTGGCCTTGAACTCTTGGCAATACTTCTCTGCCCCAGCCTTCAGAGAGCTGAGGTCACAGATATCTGCCACCATGCTCAGCCCAAGTACTTTTGAAAGAAGGCAGTGAAAATATTTTATTAATAATCACTTGTTTCCTGAAAAAGGGTAAGAAAGGATTTGGAAGTAAGAAAGAAGGGGCTCTTGATTTCTGTTGTTTCAAATAAAAAATGTGAAACTTGTTCTTTTTTTCTTAGTATTAGTTTTAAATCACTACAGGCTTGTGTCATTTTATATGGCCTATTGTCGTATTGGACATGATAATTTTATAAAATTTAAGGAACTTTTCCTTTCTTATAAAGTTGGAAGAAGTGATCTCTTCAGTTGGAAAGTGAAGGTTCTTTCAGTTTTCTGTCCTACTTTTTAAACACATGGACTCTGTTCTTTAGAGCAGCTTATGACTCTGATCTCTGCTGCACGAGAATATGAGATAGAGTTCATCTATGCTATCTCACCTGGATTGGACATCACTTTTTCTAACCCCAAGGAAGTGTCTACATTGAAACGCAAACTGGATCAGGTAACTCCTCATTTTTAAGTTATTTTCCCTTACTCAGTACTTGAAACTTAAGTTTTCTGAGTTGCTTTTATGATGCTAAGAAAAGAGTTCCATGTTTTTCTGTAGGAATTATTTACTGTTTGTGTGTAGAGGAATACTTTTCCAAGTACAATGATACCTTGGTACTTGTTCATTACTTCCACTAGAGTCAGTATCTACCAGAAATGGTAAAGTACCACAGCCGTTGTTGCTAAGAGGCAGTGAGTCGGACTGAGTCAGCATTGTTGATTTTAAGCACCAAGATAGTTTTCATATCAAAAATGCAACAAATACTATAGCCAGGTATAGTAGTGCATGCCTGTGATCTCAGCACTCAGGAGGCTCAGGCAGGAGGATTGCAGCAGTTTGAAGGTAGCTTTGAATATAGCAAGACCCTACCTCAAAACAAAAATCTGTTGCATACCAAATTTGCTGAATTTCAGAGCAGTTGAGTACCAGTGTATCATTAAATTGAAAAAGGTACCATTGCTTCTCAATTTAAGGGTTGCCTTAAGCCTAGTATGCTTACTCATACCTAAAGGCAGGAGAATTCAAGTTCAGGCTCATCCCAGACAACATAGTTCCTGTCTAAAAGGGCTGGGGATTTAGCTCAATGTAAAGACATGGGGTTCAATCCCCAGTACCATTTTTTTAAAGCCTTAAAGAATGCTGGGGGTGTGGCTTAGGGGTAGAACGTTTGCCTATATGCGAACTGTCCTGGGTTTTAGTCATCTTGGAAGGGATGATTAAAAGAACACTGAGTATTAGCAGGCCTAGCACCCTGCCTGTGATCCCAGCACTGTAGAGTGTGAGGCAGGAGAACTGTAAATTCAAGCCTAGCCTGGACAATTTAGGGACTAAGTGGAACCCTGTCTCAAAATTTTAAAAAAGGAATCAGGAAGTGTATAGCTGTGTTCAGTCCCCAGCACTGCAGGGAAAGAAAAAAAGAAATCTTACCAGTCTAGGGCATCTAGTAAGACCATGTTAAAAAATAAAAAGATGCAGCTCAGTGTACCTACGTTCCATCCCCAGGACTAAGGGGGGAAATAAAGATTTTTTTTTGTTTGTTTGTTTGTTTGTTTGTTTGTTTTTTGTGGAACCAGGGGTTGAACTCAGACCCTTGCACTTGCTAGGGAAGCACTTATTCCACTGAGTCATCTCCCCTGCCCCAAAGATTGTTGATTACAGGCTCCATTTGAGGGTTTTTTATTTTGGGTTTTTTTTTTTGTTGTTGTTGTTGTTTTTTTTTGTTTTGTTTTTTTTTGAGACAGGATCTTACTGTAGTTCAGGATGGTCTTGAATTGTCTGTGTAGCCCATGCTGGGCTCAAACTCTTTAAGATGCTCAGCCTCCAGAATGCTGAAATTCTAGGCGTGTGCTGTCTCTCCTGATCTAGGTTCCATCCTTAAAGATTCCTATGCTGAGATATGGGGTAAGGACCAGAAATCCAGGTGATTCGGACATGAGTTGTACAGGCCGACATTTTCAGGAAGATACTCATACCATAGCGTACACACCTGGGTTTGTGATTGGAATGAGAGAAACAACCTTCTGCCTGCTAAAGATCATTTTCAAATTACACAAACAATAGATATAATTTTATCATGTGGAAATGGCTGTGTTAGCGAGAAACAGACTTAAGCTGTTCGTGAAACTGATTCATATTAACATATAAGGTAAGGGCCGGCCAGATAGCTCAGTGGATTAAAGCACCTGCTTAGGCAGACGCAGGGACTGGGGTTCAGTCCCCGGTGGCATGCCGTGCTGTGGCAGCCCTGCCCCCCCTCCCCCCTGTGTGGTGGTGCACGCCTGTAATCCCAGTGTTTGGGAAGCTGAAAACAGGAGAATCACTGTGAGTCCAATTTGTATAGTGAGACCCTGTAGACCCTGTACTAAATACATTAAAAAATCTTAACATATAAGCTGCACATCTTTTTTTGACTGATAAAGTATAGGCCTCCCATTTTCTTTTTGTTTTTAACTTCATGAATTTGTTTTGTTTTGTAACAGGGTCTCTCTGTTGTAGCCCAAGCTGACCTCAAACACATTGTCGTCTTTAGTTTTCCAGATGCTGGGTTATAGGTGTGTGCCACCACACCTAGCAATGTTAACTGTTTCTTTTTTTGTTTGTTCGTTGTATGCTAGGACTGTGTGGCTCGGTGGTGTGGCGTATGCTTAGCATGCACAGTGCTCTGGATTTAAGTTTCAGCAATAGACAAAAGTAGTTAAAATTTTCATGAGTGGGGTTTTTAAGAAATTATTTTTGTATATAATCAAATTTGTTTTTATTTTATTTTATTTTTTGACAGTACTGGGGATTTCTGTGAGCTATATCCCCAGCACATGTTTTAAAAAATTTTTGCAACTGCGTATTGTTATCTCACTCAGGCTGGGCTTGAATTTTGTAGTCCTCCCGTGTCGACCTCCCAGAGTACTGGAATTGTAGGCCTGTACTGCCATTGTATTGTGTCTTTCTAATGTATCCCTTGTCAGATTTTTTTTGCAGATTTTATTTTTTGTTTTTAACGTATTTCAGTACAGGGACTACAGGATCTCACTACATAGATCAGACTCATTGTGATTCTCCTCTTTTCAGCCTATCAAGTGCTGGGATTACAGGCACATGTGTGCCACCGAGCCCAGTCTCAGTGCACCCTGGGGGCAGGGCGGCACAACACACCAAGGATTGAACCCCGGTCCCTGCTCCTGTCTAAGCAAGGGCTTTAGTCCACTGAGCTATTTGGCCGGCCTTATAGATTTTAAATTAATTAGGATCATGTGCCTTTGGGGATTAAAACAAGAGGAGAGGGTTATATGTGTTTTTATTTGTGTTTCTGTATTTTTCTTCTATTGGACTTTATATAATAATCAGTAAAAAGGAGATGAGGATAGATGATGTTGCAGAAGATTTGTTGGAGTGTTTCATTTTATTTTTGGTACTAGGAATTGAACTTAAGACCTCATGCTTGCCAGGTATGCACAGTGCCACTGAACTATATCCCTCTGCCTCGTTGGAGTATTTTATTTTAAATAATTAATTACTATTTGTTGGAATAATTTAATAGTACATTCAACCCTAAATGAAAACTGGTGGAAAACTTTGTCTTTCTATTTAATTTAGAATTTCTTCCATTGGAAATACAAAAATGTTTTCTTTTTCTAGGTTTCTCAGTTTGGGTGCAGGTCATTTGCCTTGCTTTTTGATGATATTGACCACAATATGTGTGCAGCAGACAAAGAGGTATTCAGTTCTTTTGCTCATGCACAGGTCTCCATCACAAATGAAATTTATCAGTACCTAGGAGAACCAGAAACTTTCCTCTTCTGTCCTACAGGTATTGTAAAACTGTCCTTGCTGATACATGTAACTTCTGAAAGGTCCTGTGTATGGGCCCTAATGCACACCTCCAGCTGGTTTATAAAAGTAGGAATCCTTTTTTCTGAAAGGCATTTCTCAAAATGTTACATTAGAGAAATTGAGGAGCTTGTAAATGATGATGGACTTGGCAAAAAATTTTTGGTTTTTAGTCCTAGAAGTATACAGATATACATTGTTAAGATATTAAAGGCAGGGGCCGGCCAGATAGCTTAGGGGATTAAGGCACCTGCTAGCAGGTGCAGGGGCCAGGGGTTCGATCCCTGTGCCTGCTGTTCCGGCCCCACCCCTGGGATGCACTGAGATGGCAATTGAGGCTGGGTGTGGTGGCGGCATGCCTGTAATCCCAGCTCTTGGGAGGCTGTAAACAGGCAGATCCCTACGAGTCTGATCTAGTAGTGAGACCCTGAACACCCTGTAGACCCTTCTCTAAAAATTGAAAATAAAAAGATTAGAGGCATGCTACTGTCAATGAAATGAAAACTGGAGAACAACAAATTTTTTTGAGAACAACAAATTTATATAGCTCTTTGTCACTTCTCATTTCCTCCTCATTCTGTTTCTGCTCATGCATAGTTGTTCCGTTTTTTTATTCCTCCCACTCCCATCTGGGCTCTTATTTCCAGTAGTTAGTATGGGAAGCTTAATAATTTTCCCACTTTGCTTTTTTTCCCCCCATCAGCAATGTTTGTCTTTCCTAGTTGCTCTCAAAATTCATTTTACAGTTTTCCCCCAGACTATTTGTTGTCAGGAATAAATAAGTTTTACAAATCTGTAGATTGAATTTTTTAACATATATATATATATATATATATATGTATGTATGTATGTATGTATGTCTTAGATTTGTGAGCCATGAAACTTACCTTTTTTTTTAGCATTTTTGCCAAAAATATTTAATCTGAGTTGAATCATTCTGAAAAAGACCAAACACTCCAAGTTGAGTGTTGTTTTACACAAGTGGCCTGAACATTAAAACAGGCCAGTTTCTTTATTTTTTTGTAACATGAGAGCAGAAAGACTATTCCAGATGAAAGGAATCTAAGAGAAGTAAAACAATCAAAATGTAGTAGCTGGCTATTAATCAGACCAGGGGTTTTTAGAAGCATAAAGTTTTTGGATCACTGAGGAAGTTTGAACATAATCATAAGTAGGTCACATTACCACTGTTTAATGTTACAACATGTGGTGTTACATAAGAGAATGTCTTGTTTTTGGATGATGCTCTTGTTTTCAGTCTTGTTTTTCATCAGTGTCTACAACTTTAAAGTGTTACAGGGCATCAGCAAACATGACAAAGTGTTAAAAATTAGTATCTGGGTAAAGTAAGTGTTCATTCTCCTATTCTTTCAGTTTTTCTGTGCTTGAATTGTTAAAAAATTATGCAAAAATAGACAAAAACTATTCAGATTGCACAAGAAAAACCTGGCTTAAATTATGTGAGAGTGGGTAGGGACAGGGTTTCCTGGGTAGGCAGGGACAGTGGTGACAGAAGTGGACATCAAAGGGAGAAAGTGACAATGGTGATGGAAATGGACATCAAGGGGTGGTAGGGACAGTGGAAGCAGACAATGTGGAACTCACAGGGCTGATGTGAAACTTATTTTAGTATGTAGTCTAACACTACATCAATACTCAAATATTGCTTGGTATAAGGTATTGGGCATTTATTTCAAGTCAGAATGTAAGTTGTACTTGAGTACTAATAACCATTGTCGTGATCTTGTATTGGTTGCACTGCAATATTATCAATTTACTTTATTTGACCTCTGATTATAAATGAAAAATGTAGGTGACACAGAATTAGGTACAAAATGCTGAGATTTTAATTGCTGTTTTTCTAGTGAATAGCATCATAAATTTGACCTGTACTGCTGTTGGAGGGAGAATATCAGATTTTATAAATTGATTTGTAAATTAACTATATGCTTGAATTTAATCTCTTTTAGTTATGATATGGAGGCCTTTATAGTTTTGATGAAAATAATTTAAAATTGTTAAGACTTTTTTTCCCCATCCTAAAGCCCATGACTATTTTCACTCCTGTTTTCCTTCTTCCCCCCTCCTACATTCAGAATATTGTGGCACTTTCTGTTATCCAAATGTGTCTCAGTCTCCTTACTTAAGGACTGTGGGTGAAAAGCTCCTACCTGGAATTGAGGTACTTTGGACAGGTAAAGTCTTTCAAGATGTGTATGTTAAAACTGAACTGGGCCCTAGAAAAATTTTTGTTTTTGTTTTTGTTTGAAGGCCAGGGATACAGCTCAGCAGCACAGCACCTGCCTGGCAAGCATAAGGTCCTGAGTTCAATTCACAGTACTTAAAAAATAAAAACTTTTTGAGGCTGGGTCTTGCTGTATATTCCAGGCTGACATGTAGTGTTCGATATTCCTGCTTCAGCTTCCTTATCCAAGAACTATATTTGTATCCTACCACCACTACACCTGGCTGATTGTGTGTGTGTGTGTATCTTTGTGTCTTTGTCTTAGAGACACAGTTTCACTATACAGTTAAAGCTGGCCTTAATCTCACTTTGTAGCCCAGGCTGGCCGTAAACTTGCAGTGAATCTCCTTCCTTAGCCTCCCTCAGGATTATAGGCATGCTCCACATCTGGCTGTTGTTGTGAATTGATTTCCCCCCATCTTTTTGAGACAGGGTCTTGCTGTGCAGTTCAGGGTGGCTTTGAGCTCACTTTGTGGCTCAGATGGGTCTTGATCTCACAGTGATCCTCCTGCCTCAGGCTCCTGAGTGCTGAGATCGTAGGCATGTGTTACCATGCCTGGCTCTAATTGAATTTTTTTTAATGAATTTTAGGAAACTTATTATTTTATGAAGTGTACATGCTTCACTTTCTATTAAAACCTTTTGCCAGCTGTGGTAGTGATGTGTGCCTGTACTCGCAGCATCCTTAAAATGCTCGAGCAGAAGGATTGCAAGTTGGATCTCAGCCTAGGCAGTTTGACTTAGGTGAGACCTGTCTCCTTTTGTTTGCTTTTGTTTTTGTCTTTCTGAGACAAGGTCTCACTGCACAGCTCAGTCTGGCTTTGAGCTCTCTTTGTAGCCCAGGCTGATTTTGAGCTCACACAGGTCCTCCTGCCTCAGCCTCTTGAGTGCTGGAATTACAAGGGTGCGCCACCACGCCTGGCTTGAGACCCCTCGTTTGAAAAGAGAAAAAGGGGGCTGGGGTCAAATCTTAGTGGGAAAAAGCCCTGGGTTCAGTTCCCAGTACCACAAGTAAGATGGGAGACTTGCTTGCCCTAGGGTGGCCTTAAACTTACGGTTTTAGGTGATCCTTCTGCCTCAGTCTCCCAAGGGCCAAAATGATAGAAAACATTTTGAGCTGAGCATGGTAGCGCACAGCTGTAATCCTAGTACTTGCGAGTTGAGAGTTGGCAGGATTACCATGAAACTCTGTCTGGAAAAAAAAAAATCTTGAAAGAGCTGGGCATGGCAATATACCCCTCTACTTGGAGCACTTGGGAGGCTGAGACCAGGATCACTGAGTTTGAAGACTGCGTGGGCAACATAGTGAATTCAAGGGCAGCCTGAGCTTCGTAGTAATACCCTGTTGTAAGTAAGACAAACCACCCAAACCTTAAGGATTTTGCAGTAATTATCATGTTACTTGGTGATAAAGATCTATGTGTGGAACTTCTGTCTTATAGAATGAAAGGGAAAAAAGTATTGTTGTATTTAAAATGCAAGCAGTTAGGTCTGGTGGTGTGATCTCAGCGGTAGAGTGCTTGCTTAGTGGGCGTAAGGGGCTTGGGTTTGATCCCAACCCTCCAAAAGAAAAAATGAAAGTGAGAACACAATAAAAGGTCATGTATAGTGTATTTTAAAGAACCATGTAGGAGATTGTTTAAACATGGTGGTCATTATTTCTAGGTCCCAAAGTTGTTTCTAAAGAAATTCCAGTAGAGTCTATTGAAGAGGTTTCTAAAATAATTAAGAGAGCTCCAGTAATCTGGGATAACATCCATGCTAATGATTACGATCAGAAGAGACTATTTTTGGGCCCATATAAAGGAAGATCCACAGAGCTCATCCCCCGGTTAAAAGGAGTGCTGACGAATCCAAACTGTGAATTTGAAGCCAACTATGTTGCTATCCACACCCTTGCCACCTGGTACAAGTCAAACATGAACGGAGTGAGGAAAGATGTGGTGATGAGTGAGTAGTCTGCCCTTGGTGCTTGGCTGCAGGAAGAGGGGGTTAGCTACAGCCATTGGCAATGTTTATTTCTTTGTCAGCACAGTTGAGGCTTTATGATGGGTTGTTCATTTCTACTGATGAATTAAGTGTACGATTTAAAAAAAAAAACTAAGTGGGCTTAGATAGGTCATTTAACTTCTTGGCTTTAGGGTTTTTTTTAATTCTTAATTTTATTTGTTACTGTTTGTAGTACATGATTGCATTCATAGGGGAGAGTTTGTACATGTGAATTCTTTGCTTTTAAAATGTGATTCATTCTTTTTTTTTTTTTTTTGCGGAACCAGGGATTGAACTCAGGCCCTTGGGCTTGCCAGGGAAGTGCTTATTCTACTGAGCGGTCTCCCTGGCCCCCAAAATGTGATTCATTCTTGAAGTCACACAGTAGATTCATGTTTCTGTTAGCCTTAACAACATTTTCCATCAGTTTTCAGGTGTTTGGGGGTTTTTTTTGTTTGTTTGTTTTTGTCTTTTTGAGACAGGAACTTAACTATGCAGTTCAGGTTGGCCTTGAGCTCACTTTGTAGCCCAAGCTGGTCTCAGCTTACAACCATTCTCCTGCCTCAGCTTCCTGAGTGCTGGGATCAGGTAATTTTATTAAATGGGATTTCTTTTTCATCTTCTTGAGACAAAGGTCTCAGTAAATTACCAAGATTGTTAACTCCTCTTGCCTTATCCTTCTAAGTACCTGGGGTTACAGTGTGTGCCCTCATGTTTGGCTAGCTTCTATATTTTCCAACATGTTACCACTGCTTGAACCACTGGGGTACAGCCACCCATCGGGTGGCTTTTTATTAATTTTGTTAGTCAAAAGGCTGATACAGGTGATTAGATCTGTTTATACCACCAGTGAGTGGTACGGCTTCCTGATGGGACAGTCATGCCTGTTCCACTGGTGCTTAAAAGCTGCCTGGCAGCAAAACACATGAATTAAGGTCCCTTTGTAAATGTGTTAAGGGGAATGTGGAGTAGAGAAGACACTAGCCAAACTGGGCTGTGTGAAAAAGGAGAAAAGCTAAAACCAAGGGTATTTTTGAGTACCAAGCTGAAAAGTTCAGGCTTAATTTTCTCCCTCTTCTCTCTGTCCTGGCCTAGCCATCCTTGGTTTATCAGTGCTCATATTAAGGTTCTGTTCTTTTTTTTTTTTTTTTCTTTCAATGCTTTACAATGAACTTATCAGCTCCTTAAGAATAGGGAATGTTTTCTTTACAGAAAGCATACTGCCTTTAACTTTGAACTCTTAGTAATTGTTATTCAGAGAACATTCATGATCAACTTTTCCAATGATTCTAAAATTAGTACTCAATTCAGTTGGGATTTTACATTTAGCAGTGCATTTAGGTAGGTAATCTAGGTAAAATGGCCAGTGAAGGGTCTTCCTTTCGTTTGCAATGTTATATTTAAGGTTCTTGCTCTAGTTCTTTATTTTTGTGATACAGCAGCAACCACTCACGGTCAGGAGGGGCTTGTAACCCAAGCGTTTTTTTTCTTTCAGCTGACAGTGAAGATAGTACTGTATCGATCCAGATAAAATTAGAAAACGAAGGCAGTGATGAAGATATTGAAACTGATGTACTCTATAGTCCACAAATGGCTCTAAAGCTAGCTTTAACAGAGTGGTTGCAGGAATTTGGTGTACCTCATCAATACAGCAGTGAGTTTGATCATTTTCTTATGGGGATTCATTGGATCACATGGTTAAATCACAAAATGATATTGTCATTTCTCTTACCTTGGGCCCACTAAGCAATGTAGGGTTTTTTGTTTGGTTGTACTGAGAATCAAACTCAGGACCCTGTACTTACTGGGCAGGCACTTGTGCTGTACTGCTGAGCTATGTCCCCAGCCCAAGCAAAGTGAAGTTAAATGAAATTTAGAAGTCTTAAGAATAAGGTTTAAAGATCTTACTGTGGTGTTTTTTTAGGCGGTTCCAGGGTTGAACCCAGAGAGTGCTGAGTTACACCCCTCAGCCTTTTCAGTTGTTGAAATCAGGATAATTTGCCTAGTTTGATCTTTAATTAGTGATCCTCTTTTGCCTTAGCCTCTGAGTAACTGGGGTTTCATAACACTTTTAATCTTTTTAGAATAGTTTTTATTTTGATAAAATGTTAATGTGAAATATTTGTTTTAACCTGCATATCTTGCTGGATGTGGTGTTACTTGTAATCTCAGCACTTAGGGAGACAGAGGCTGAGGCATGACGATTGCATCGAGTTTGAAGCCAGCCTCAGCTACAGATTGAGACCCTGTCTTAAATAAATAAACAAATCTTCAAAGGAAATATTATATATGTCAGCATGCTTGAGGATCCCCCCCCCCCCCCCCCCCGGAACCGGCGATTGAACTCAGGCCCTTGTGTGCCAGGCAAGTGCTTATTCTACTGAGCTATCTCCCCAGCCCCTAGATGTTTGTTACTATTCTCACCATCCCGTTCACCTTTTGTCCATGCCTCATTGATGGTTTAAAGAAATTTCTCTTTGCTCAGGGCTCAGAGTATTTGGAATCTCAAAGTGAGGTTCTCGTTTCAGATAGCATGACAAGAAGATTTTTGTTTTTTTTAATGTATTTAGTACAGGGTCTCACTATGTAGGAGTCATAGTGATCCTCCTGTTTTCAGCCTCCCAAATGCTGGGGTTACAGGCACACACCACCACACCCAGTCTCTATCTCTGTCTCAGTGCACCCTGTGGGCAGTGCCAGTATGAATGGGTATATCACACCAGGGATCAAACTCCCGTCCCTGCATCTGCCTAGTCAGGCTCTTTAATCCACTGAGCTATCTGGCCTGGCCCAAGAAGTATTTTTCTAAATTTTTTTTTTTAAAGGATCCTTATTTTCTTATTTATTTATTTATTTTATGTGTGTGTGCGCGCACGTGGGGCCAGCTCAGCCCACTATGGGGCGGGGCTGGCTGGCATGTGGTGCTGGGGGATTGAACCGCGGTCCCTGCGCTTTGCTAACCTTGTTTTAAGTAGGCGCTTTAGACCACTGAGCCATCTCACCAGCCCCATATTTTTCTAAATTGAATTTGTTCTAATTGTGATATCTCTTGGCTTTTTGTTTTTGGTAGGTAGGCAAGTTGCACATAGTGGAGCAAAAACAAGTGTAGTTGATGGGACTCCCTTAGTTGCAGCACCCTCTTTAAATGCCACAACTGTAGTCACAACAGTTTACCAGGAACCCATTATGAGCCAGGGAGCAGCTTTGAGTGGTGAACCTACAACTCTGACCAAGGAAGAAGAAAAGAAGCAGCCGGATGAGGAACCTATGGACATGGTGGTAGAAAAACAAGAAGAAGCAGATCACAAGACTGACAATCAAATACTAACTGAAATCGTTGAAGCTAAAATGGCAGAGGAATTAAAACCAATGGACACTGATAAAGAGAGCATAGCTGAATCTAAATCTCCAGAGATGTCTATGCAAGAAGATTGCATTAGCGATATTGCTCCTATGCAGACAGATGAACACACAAACAAGGAGCAGTTTGTGCCAGGTCCAAATGAAAAGCCTTTGTACACTGCAGAACCAGTGACTCTAGAGGATTTGCAGTTACTTGCAGATCTTTTCTATCTTCCTTATGAGCATGGACCCAAAGGAGCACAGATGTTACGGGAATTCCAGTGGCTTCGAGCAAATAGCAGCGTTGTTAGTGTCAATTGCAAAGGAAAAGACTCAGAAAAAGTGAGTATGCTTAATTTACCTACTTTTCTAGTCTTCATGGTTTCCCATGCTGTTAACGTGCATATACCAGGCAAGCATTCACCACGGAGCTACATACCCAGCCATGGTTCTTAAGTGCATTCAGTGAGAACTGGCAGGAAATTGACTACATTATGAATATGTTCATAAAGTAGGTGTGTACTCTGCAGAATGAAGGCAAGTTTATTTTAGGTCTTGTCAGTTTAGAGACTAGTAGTCTCTAATTTAGTAAATTGCTGCTCTGGAATTTAAGCCAGTGATTAATGTTTTGGATAAATTGCTAGTAGCTGATGACACACATGTTAGAGTATAACTGTTTCGCATTATTTTGTTAATCTTACGGTGTTTTGGGTCTCTTGATCCTTAATAGATTGAAGAATGGCGGTCACGAGCAGCCAAATTTGAAGAGATGTGTGGACTGGTGATGGGAATGTTCACTCGGCTCTCCAACTGTGCCAACAGGACAATCCTTTATGACATGTACTCCTATGTGTGGGATATCAAGAGTATAATGTCTATGGTGAAGTCTTTTGTACAGTGGTTAGGTATGTGCACCAGGAATAATCTATTCTCAAATACATTGTATCTTTAAAAGAAATTACCCCATAGGGAGAAAAACATTTAGGGAATTGGCAAATTCTAAATGTAGTTTCTGTTCTTTGTCTACATTTTTATAAAAGTGGGGCATTATTGAAGACTTGAGATGCAAGTCTTAGTAATTACATTGGACACATTAATTTTTCTCCCTTGGGCTAATTCAGCATAAATATCTTGAAAATATGTTAGCAAGTACTGACTTTAACTTGCTCTGACTGAATGCTTCCTGGATGGAACAGTGCATATTACTTTTGTCTGATTTGGAGATGAGACACTATGAAATGTGACTCTAGGCTTTCTGCTGCTTGCTGTGTCTTCATAATGTTAATGCTGTGTTTAATGGAACAATTGCTGAAACAATCCAAGGGGCCTGGCAAGAGGAACCCGTCCTCCCAGCCCTGTGCGCATGCGAGTTCTAGTGGCAGGCTATTCTGGTGCTACTCATTATTTCACGTGGCTTTTTCTTTATCCCTCCACCAAGTAATTGGTTTTAGCAGAGGGTGGACATTTTAGTCCCCTAAAAATTCTTTAGTTGGTGGACTTTTCTGTCTACTTTGAAAATGATTGCTTTTTTCTTACAATTTTCAAACTTGGTAAAGAGCACCAGCATGGCCAGGTTTCTCCAGGGACCTCATTTTATTTCTAGGTTTTCAGTCTAGCTATGAGGATATGTGTAATGGACTTACATATAGCACACAGCAGGCAGCAAAGCTGACTGACATGTCATAGTTTTCATAGTAGTCACAAACAGTGTGATGGGTTTTCATCATAGTTGTCAGACAGTCTGAAACACCATGAGCTTGGATTAAGGAGGAGGAGGAATGGGATTACTCATTTTGTGCACCTGCACATTTAAGGCTTTTAGATACTTTTAAAAATGGCAGCTTTTCGGTGATACACTCAGTTAAGTGGCTAAAATAAGTCTCCTTGTCAGTTTGGAAATAACAGGCTTCACTTGGGCTGCCACATATATTGGCACAACATGTAAAGAATTTTAATTCTGTTGTTAAGAGGCTCTAGAATACCTACTGTGGTTATTCTTGCCCTCAGACACATAAAAAACCTCCCTATATTGACTGTTGGATAACATTATGGATAAGGAATCACAATTATTCTTTACAGGTTTAAATCTTAAATTTCCAAGGATTCTAGGAATTATGAACATTAAGTCTATTAGAGAATTGAGCTTGAGAATATATCACTTAAAACATTGTATCACTTGAAACATTTGTCCGTTGTCCAACTTTTAATTAAAAAAATTAAAACTTTTGGTCGGGGAGATGGCTCAGTGGAATAAGTGCTTCCCTGGCAAGCACAAGGGTCTGAGTTCACTCCCCGATTCCATGGTTATAATTTATAAATAAAATAGCCATGGTTATAATTTTTAAAAAAAGAAAATTAAAACTTTTATTCTTGATTACATATAGTACTGTTTCTCTTAGGCTCTTTATGTTGTACAGTTATGGGGGTAACTCACAGTTTGTATAGGTACACAGTTTTCAGGTCAAACTATCGTAGATGTTGTAAATCATCATCTTGGCATTCGGGTAACTCTACAGAGGCTCACAGCACAAAGTCTATCTTCACCATTCTATAGTAATTTCAGGGAGTTAGTGATTAGAACCCTTTGTTTTCCTTGTCTCTCCAGTCCAGCTGGCATTCAGTCCTTTAAAGAATGTGGCTATGCAGTACTTTCAATTACTAATGACTTCTGTTATCTTCTTCCCCATTGTGTACAGATGGGAGAATCCTCAGCACAAGTGTCTACTACTATTGGATGGACAGCGGCAGATGTTCACAGCGCGTCATGATTAATTAGTTTAAATTGAAAGGTTCTATCTGTGAGGTAGCTCAGGTAGATTGAAGGGCAGTAGGCATGAACTGAAGTCACGTTTGCGCAGCGACTGAGGCATTAACCATGTTTTCATTTATACAGCTCTTCGTATATGCAGCCTTTTTATTGTGATAGTTGGAAGTGCTAGTTATGTTGTAGTCTCAAAGTGGGGGGTAGAGGAAATTGGCTGACCTTAAAGTTTAAGAAGTGCAGTGTTTCCTGCAGTGTAAATCCCACTGAGTTATGGAATGGGGCAAGTTCTCTTTGTAGTCTAAATTTTGACCCTGTTTCATATTTGTTTAACAAATACTATATATTTTGTGTTTTCTTTTTTAAAACCCTACCCCTAAAATATGACAAACCCAAACATAATTTCTTAATGGGCCTGAATTATCCACAAAAAAACTTGGTTTGCTTTGGGACTGTCTGACTAGCACACTTATTATCTTGTACTGATGAGACTGTTAACTTGAACAGGAGGTAGAATGCTGTCTTCCAATGGAAAAGAACTATATTGCGCTGCTTCATCTTGTCAGAAGACTAGGCAGGTGGTTTTCTTTTGGCAACCAAATACTTGCGTTAGTTACTTATCAGTTGTTAGCTTGATTGCCTTTGAGGTTGGTTAAGTGGTGAACATGAATGCTGACTGCTGGACCTCAAAGCTTGCCATTCCGTGCATGTGTTCAGTGCATCACAAGGAGTGTAATGGCTAATGAGAAAAACCAGATACTGTTATACTGTAAAGAAAGTATTTTAATTCTGGACAAATTAGGAGCAGTAATTGCTGCTTTAGTTCCCAGAACCTGTCAGACTGATAATTAGCCAGTCTGAATTGTTCTTGTCTAAAAACATCATGTTCTTGTTGTGTTTTATCAACTGTTTCTTTTATTCTGGTGACCTTAGTTTTCTGACAAGATTTTCCTTTCCCTTTTCCCTTTCCTATACCCTTCCTCAAAATGTAAAATGTGACTTCAGACAGGTTTAATTCCTTCATGGGCTGTGATAATAAAATGTCTCAATCTCTATCATTCATTTCAGTTAATTATTATGATTTCGTGATAAAGCAAGAAACTAGCTTGGTCTAGCTAAGAAATATATAAATTTGACTTAGACTTGGAACGTCATTTCCTTTTAATAATTAAAGAGTACAATTGGTAATCATTTGCATTAATTAGAGGAAGGTATGTCAGTATTAAAATGCCACTATAAATTTATACAAATAATTATTATCACAGCCTTGCCCTGAAACCCTGGATTATTATTGTTAGAGAGCTATTTCCACAGAGTGTGTGTTAGTGTGTTGGACATTTGAGACCCCAGGAAATCCCCTTTCTCGTAACATTCTCCGCTTGGATCTGATCTCAACAGGGTGTCGTAGTCATTCTTCAGCACAGTTCTTAATTGGAGACCAAGAACCCTGGGCCTTTAGAGGTGGTCTAGCAGGAGAGTTCCAGGTATCAATATGAATTCACAACTGAATTGACATTTTCTTTGTTTTATGAGAAACCTTATGTTGCGCATCAGATGGCTGGAAGGATTGGTCTGCCGAAGGCTTTCTAGTCCCAAATTCAATTTAGTTACATAGCTGAATTTTAAATCAAATTTTCCTCCTCTTTCACAGTAATTTCTGAAGGAGATGCTGCCAATCCCCCCCGCGCCTGCGAAGCGCAGCGGCTCTAGGTACACACTTCACATTGTTTCTTTGCAGGTCGCACAGCATTTTAATCTGCGCCCGCAATGCACAATGCGCGCATGCTTGTCTGCCAGTGGAAACTCCATGAGCAAAACAAGATGACTAATTATACAAGTGATTAGTGAAAAAGCTTGGGATGTTTCTTCAGAAATCTAATGAGCTTGAAAGTTGGCTAGTGAAAATTCAAACACAAAAGGAAGTTTTTGCTATTCAGTTTGTTCATGGACTTTCAGGTGCTCTACTTTTCTCCCCCCAACAGGTGCTCTGCTGCGCGCAGCAAACTGAAGCGCATTGCTTTGGGGATAAAGCGTCTCCTGGACAGATAACCCTCTTCAGACCAAACCTCTCCTCCTGACATTCTGTTCTGCCATCTTTTAGTAGAAAGATGGTCTAGTTAAAGATTGGTTTTTTTAAAAAAAACATTATCATCACTGGAATAGTTTGTTTGTTTGTTTGTTTATTATAAATTTAAATTCCCATTAATGTGCCTCTAAAGCTGTATAGCTCAGTTTGGGTAATTTCTATTCAAAAGCACTCCCCTTCCCCAGCAAAGAGGTGTTTATATTAGTAAAGCATAGTACACCCCTCTTCTTTAGGTCTGCCTGCAGTAGCCAGTTAATGTTAAGTTGGTAATCTGCAGTGCACACTCATTTAAAGAAATGGATGTCTTTCTGACACTAATCCATCTCCTTTTTTCCCCTCACAGCGTTTGCTGCCAATTGATGGAGCAAATGATCTCTTTTTTCAACCACCCCCACTGACTCCTACCTCCAAAGTTTATACTATCAGACCGTATTTTCCTAAAGATGAGGTAATTGTCTATCAGTTTGATGAGTGGTAATGTATCTACTTTACTTTGAATTCAGTGCTTAAAAGAATTTCTTTATTGTCTTAAAATATCTTCATTTTTATGGATTTTTTTCTACTGTTGGTGACAAAACACTGATTCTTCCTTACTCTTTTTTTTTTTAATATTTATTTATTTTTTTATTTATTTCATTTTGTGTGGCCCGCTCAGCCCCCAGGGGGCGGGGCTGGCTGGCATGTGGTGCTGGGGGATTGAACCGCGGTCCCTGTGCTTTGCCAAGCTTGTTTCAAGTAGGTGCTTTAGACCACTGAGCCATCTCTCCAGCCCTGATTCTTCCTTACTCTTAAGTGAACACTTTACAATTGAGTGACACTTGTAAAAAATAAAAATTTAAAGACTAGTGTAGTGGCATATGCATATAGTCTCAGCACACTGCAAGGCTGAGACAGAGATTTAATTGAGTCTAGCCAGCGCAACTTAGTGATTTAGTGAGATCTTGTCTCCAAATAAAAAATAAAAGCATATGTATTTCACCTAAAAGTCTCCAGTACTGAAAACAAAACACCTGAACTTCAACAGGAGAAAGTCACCAAAATACTCAATTTAGGAGGAGAAAATACACAAAGAAAAATTTGAGGCAGGATTTTAAGGAGTTTAGCTGGGCATGGTGATAATGCCTGTAATCCTGGAACTTAGGAGGCTGAGGCAGGAGGATGGCTGTGAGTTTGAGGGCCAGCCTGAGCTGCACACTGAATTAAAGACCAGCCTGAATTACAAGATAGACCTCTCAGAAAAAGCAGACCAAAACTTCAAGGAACTAAAAAATTTGCTGGGTTTTTAATCCTCAGTTTATTACCAGAAACTGCCCTGCAAAACCATTTTAAATATTGACTAAAATCGTGCTGCTTTGTACTGGTTTTTTAATGTACCTTTTTTTAAAAAAAAATTTTTATTTATTTATTTATATGTGTGTGTGTGTGGCCAGCTCAGCCCACCAGGGGGCAGGGCTGGCTGGCATGTGGTGCTGGGGGATTGAACCGCGGTCCCTCTGTTTTGCTAAGCTTGTTCTAAGTAGGTGCTTTAGACCACTGAGCCATCTCACCAGCCCCGCTTTGTACTGGTTTTATAAATCTGACCCAGTGAATAAATCTTTATTTAGCAAAGTAAATGTGCTGTTTCTGACAGGCCGTTTTGTTTATCCCTCCTCAGACTTTTATACTGTTGTTATTTTGCCATTTTTGGACCTATTGCTTAACTCTAGTTGTATAAAATTCTAAAATAGTATATAAAAATCTGTTACATTTGCAGGCTTCTGTGTACAAGATTTGCAGAGAGATGTATGATGACGGAATGGGTTTACCTTTTCAGAGTCAGCCTGACCTTATTGGAGACAAGTATGTGATCACTGTTGGGATTTGGGAACAGATATTTCATAGCTAGGCTTTATCGAGGGAGGTGAAGACTGGAAAGAAGTGTATTTTTTTTTAAATTCCAGTTTAGTTTTAGTAAAATCCGAAAATTGATAAACGAGCATTTCTCGTTGCTTTGACACCAAATGTTTTCATTGTTGCATACAAGGCAAGAGTTCTACCACTGAGCCACAGCCACAGCCCCATTGTTGTTCAAGTACATTGGACCTTGCATCACTGAATCCTCAGTTTTGTGCTAATAAAAAGCTTACCATCCTCTTCCCCTCTGAGCAGGTTGGTAGGAGGGCTCCTTTCCCTCAGCCTGGATTACTGTTTTGTACTTGAAGATGAAGATGGCATATGTGGCTATGCATTGGGCACTGTGGATGTGACGCCCTTCATCAAAAAATGTAAAATATCCTGGATCCCATTCATGCAGGAAAAATATACGAAGCCAAATGGTGACAAAGAACTCTCAGAGGCTGAGGTACGATTTTTTTTTAAGTGCTTATTAAAGTAAAAAGTAAATAGATGCATCATAAAATTTCAGTGGTTTCTTATTTTTTTTAAAATTTTATTTATTTGTTTATTTGTGTGTGTGTGTGGCTGTGGCCAGCTCAGCCCACCAGGGGGCGGGGCTGGCTGGCATGTGGTGCTGGGGGACTGAACCATGGCCCCTCTGATTTTGCTAAGCTTGTTCTAAGTAGGTGCTCTAGACCACTGAGCCATCTCACCAGCCCCAGGGTTTTTTTTAAGAATGCTCTTAATGGGCTGGTGAGATGGCTCAGTGGTCTAAAGCATCTACTTAGAACAAGCTTAGCAAAGCACAGGGACCGCGGGTCAATCCCCCAGCACCACATGCCAGCCAGCCTCGCCCCCTGGTGGGCTGAGCTGGCCACGGCCACACACACACACACAAATAAACAAATAAATAAATAA